TATCGAGTAAATTTAATAAGCGTAAGCGAACTTAAATAAACGATATTTAAGCTTCTTACTTCTTAATAATTATAAGATTAAATTTTCTATTCTTTCTACATTAACTAGCGTAAACTATTCTCTATAGTTTAAAAAAAAATCTAAAAATTTTAATAGAAAATAAAAAGGTAAATTTATTTATAAATAATATATATTTAATATTTAATAAGAAGATATAAAAGAGCTATCGAGCTAACTTAGTCGACTTAATTAAAAAGCGTAATTAATTCTAATTTATATTTAGCTATATATATAAATTTAAGATTTTCTAACTTAACTCTATCTTATTCTTTTATATATATTAATATTATAAGAAATATAACTTTAACGAGAGTATTATATATATAAGACTTTCTCTTAAATTTATTAATTTAATAGTAATTAATTAATTAATTATTTATATACGCTTTTACTTAGATTATAAAGAGTAATTACGAGTTACTATATAGATATTATATACTTATAGAAAAAATCTCATTTAATCTCTTTAAATTAAAATAAAAACTCTTATTCTCTTTTTTTTACTAACTTATTATATATTTTAATTCTTTTATTATATTTATATCTTAAACTCTCTAATTTCTTTTTTTCTATTTTTAACTTTATAATTCTTAACGTTATTTAAAGAGTTAATTTAATTATATATTAATTTATATATATAAAAGAATTAAATAAAACTAAGCTATAAAATCTTAAGATTTATTATAAATTTAGATTTACTACGCTCTTTAATTAGATTAACTAAGTTAGCTCGCTAGCTCTCTTAAAATTTCTTATTAAAAAAAAGATATATAATATTTATATATAGAATAACTTTTTTATTTTTTATTTTTTATTAAAATTTTAATTTTTAATTATAGAGCGATAATTACGCTTTTTAAAAATAAAAAGATTTTAAAATTTAGTCTTATAATTATTAAAGTATAAGAAATTTAAATATTAATTATTAAAGTTCGCTCTCGATAGCTCTAATTAAAAACTAGATATATATTATTTAATTTTAATAAAACTTCTTTATTTTCTATTAAATTTTTTAATTTTTTCTTTTTAATTATAGAACGCAATATAGGCTTCTAAATAAAAAAAGAATTATTAAATTTAGTCTTTTCGATACTTAAAGATAAGAAATTTTAATATCGTCTAGTAAAGGTTCGCTTATTAAATTTACTCGATAGCCGATAACTCGTAACTTTAATTTAAAAAATAAATATATATTATTCAATTTTAGAATAACTTTTTTATTTTTAATTAAGATTTTATAACTTCTTTTTTAAATTATAGAATATAATATAGACTTTTAAATTAAAAAATAATTATTAAATTTAAAATTATTAATATTTTAAGTCAAGAATTTAAATATCGCTTATTAAAAAGTTATTTACTCTATTAAGAATATTCTTTTATATAAGCGTAGATAGTCGAGTAATAATAATTTCAACAAAATTCGAAACTATTCCGCTCCGTCCTCGATTCGAATTCATGAATCTCTCTCGCTAAAAAATCGTAAAATTCGTAAAATTCGTAAAATTCGTAATATTAATAGAAATATTATAAATATTAAAATTAAAATTAAAAATAATTTATATAAAAGAACTATTACTAGTATTAAAACTAACTTCTTATTAATATAAAGTTAATATCTTTTAAAAATCTATTAATTATATAACTTCTCTTTTTCTATTAAAAACTTCTAATTTTTTTTTAAATTATAGAACGTAATTTAGATTTTTAGATAATTTCTAATTATCTAAGTTCGATCTTATAGTTTCAAGTAAATCTTAAATTAAAATATTTTCACTCTTCGAGAGTCGAATTTAATCTCGAAATTAGATTTAAAAATTAATTACTTTTTATAAATTTAATTCATAAGCCTAAACTTATAAGTGAAATTATTTTAAAAGATTTATCTAAATAATTTATCTAGCGAATATATTTATCTCTTTAAATAATATTAATATAATTAATATATCGCTAGTTTTAAACTCTCTTACTTAAATATTTATCTTTTATATATTTATTTTAAACGTTAATATAAAAATCTAGAATTTAAAAACTTCTCTTAGATATTATAATTATAATTCTTAAATTAATAACAATTTTTATATTAAACTCTTTTAGACTATAGAGAAAATTTATTAATTTCTACTTTCTAAAAATAAAGATTACTCTATATATTCTTATTTATATAAAATAATTTTATAAATCTATTTGAAAATTTCGTAATTTCTTTCACTTAATTTTCTATATATTAATTTTCTTTTTATAAAACTCTTAATTTATAATTAAAAGTTAATTTTAAAGTATTTCTTAATAGATATTATATTCAAAAATAAAACCTAACTTAATAAAATTAAGAATTTTTATAGAATATTAATTTCCGCGAATTTTATTATATTAATCTTTCTTTCTAATTTAATAAATATAGTTTTATTTTTTTAAAAACTCTTAATTTATCTTATTAAAAAGCTCATATTTCGTTCTATAATTTAAAAAAAAAAATTAAAATTTTAATAGAAAATAGAAAAGTTATTCTATATATTAATAACGTATATCTATTTTTTTAATAATTACGAACGCTAATTTATTTATTCGCGATATCTAATTAAAAAGCGTAGATCTATCGAATTTATAATTAATTATATATATAAATTTAATATTTTTAAGCTTAGCTCTATCTTATTCTATTATATATACTAATATTTTATTATCTTTTTAAATATCTATATCTTATACTCTTATTTAAATTACGTTATCGTATTTTATATTTTATTTTATTCTATTTTTAATATATTTTATTAAAATTTAGAGAGGTTACTTAGAGATACTTAGAGTTTACTAAAGTAACGAAATATATTTCGAAATCTCGCTCTCGGATTAAGGCGGGCTTAGGGTTTCGAGAAAACTCGAAACTTCGACTCGAAACTTTACTCTAACCTCGACCTTTCTTAAAATCTCGTTAAGATTCTTCGCTTCGTTATATAGGTAAGATAGAAGAGATAAAAGAGATAGAAGAGATAGAAGAGATAAAAGAGATAAAAGAGATAAAAAAGATAAAAGAGATAGAAGAGATAGAAGAGATAAAAGAGATATAAAGAAGATAAAAAGATAAATAAAGAAGAAATAATAAATAAAGACGTAATAGAAAAAGAGATAATTACGATTTTTTTCATAAACTAATAAATTAATAAAAATTAAAAAATTAAAAATTAAGTTTTTATATATATTAGTACGATTAAAGGTCTATAAATAAATTTATAATCTTTTTTTTAATCGAGGCTATCGAGTAAATTTTAATAAGTAATCTTTAATAAGCGATCTTTAATAAGCGATATCTGAATTCCTCGCTTTTAAAAATCTATAAAACTAAATTTAAAAATTCTTTTTTTATCTAAAAGTCTATATTATATTCTATAATTTAAGAATTAAATTAAAATTTTAATAGAAAATAAAAATGTTATTCTAAAATTAAATAATATATATCTATTTTTTAATTAAAACTATCGAGTAAATTTAATAAGCGAACTTTAATAAGCGATATTTAAATTTCTTACGCTTTAATATTTATAATTTTATTATTATTAAAAAGCGTAAGTTACGGGTTATAATTTAAAAAAAAAATTAAAAGTTTTAATAAAAAATAGTAAAGTTATTAAAAGATTAAAAGTAGAGAAAGAGATTTTAATTACGAACGTTACTTTATTTACTTATAATATTTAATTAAAAAGCGTAAATCTAATAAATTAATAATTAACTATATATATAAATTTAAGATTCTCTATTTTAGCTCTATCTTATTCTTTTATATATATTAATTATAAATAATAAGAGTTTAATATTATTTATTATTATTATATCGAGTTATTATAGAATATTAATAAAAGATAAATATTTTAATATTACGTTAATCTAATCGAATTTAAATCGAATATTATTAGATATCGAGTACTTTCAAATATATACGAGTATACGAAGATCGATATTAAAAGTTCTAGATAGCGCTAAAATACTTAATACTCTTAATATTCTTAATATTTTCTATATAGTTATATTTATTTAACGATAATACTTTATATAATTACGTATATACTTATTAACTCGCTCGACGAAGTTATATAATTATATATTATCTTTTCTATAATCTTTTCTATACTTATTATTATCTTTAAGACGTATTATCTTCGTAATATATCTCGATATTTACTCTATTTACTTCTAAATTCTCTTTTAAATAAGCTCGTAATTTTAATAATATTATTATTATCTTTCGACTTTCTTATAAGTTCTTAATATATCTTTTTAAGTAATATAATATTTTATTTATAATTAATAAGACTTAAGAAGTATTTAAATTTAAGTTTTATTATTATAATTAATACTTTAAGTATTAAATATATTAATAAAAGATAATAAAGATAGAGAATAGTAAGAAGATTTCTATTTATTATACTATATAAATAAGACTTATATATTAGAGATCTTTATACTCTTTCTCTATTTCTCTACGCTATAATTAATACTTTAATATTATCGCTATTATCGCTATTATATATCTATTAAAGTATTATATATATACTTCGTATATATATACTACGTTACTATTATATAGAATATTAATACTTATTAAAATAAAGAATAATAATTATTAAGTACTTAGCTCTATCTAGACCCTTATCTTAATATATCTAGAACTTTTAGTGCCGACCTCCGTACGCCTAATTGACTTAAGAATATACGTCTAGTGGATAAAGGATATACGCGTAATACTTGCCTTTATTTTCTGTTTGAGCACTGGATATAGTTTCAGTTAGGGATGACTTGCCGGTGGAGTGGCAGTTATCACCACCCTAGTTCCAGGGCGAGCACCGCCTACCCGCTTAACATTTCCAATCCTCTTCACTATCGTGCGCAACTCTTCTCAATCAACTACGCTCGTAGCTTCCAAGCTTCAACACAACACGGTGATGAGCGGACCCGGTTTGGGTGCCAATGAAGCGGAAGTTTCACAACGTGACAAAGTATAACCGTCACTCACCGCTGATTTCCCTCACCTCAGACACTGACTGACCTTCTCTCGTAGGCTGACTATCGTCTACCTTGTTCAAACGACAACGATCAAGACCTCTTCCCTCCTTCGCCTCTCCCTGAATCGTTACCTTCAACTCAAGACGCTCTCCCCTCAGCGTTCTCAACCTCCGTCGAGGAATGGATTGATCGGATACTCACTCCCCCAACCTCTGAAGCTTCCAGCTCTTCTACTACCTCCCACAACACCACATCCACATCTTCCAAGCGGAAGCGAATTAGTTCCACAGACTGTGACGAGCTCATCGAGCCGCATACCTTGGTCCTATTATCCAGGAGGAACCTCCAAAGACATTTAGCGGCTATGGCACCTCCAACCACTTCCCAGACGCCAAAGAAGGGCGGTGCGGATACGTTCTCTAACAGCACTCAAGGCACGCCAAATGACAAGCGCACACTCCCCAAGGGACCCTCTTGGGTGAGGGAGTGTCAGAAAGGCCACAACATTTTCCGCGAACATGAGGTCTTTGACTGTGAGGACTATAAAGATTTCAAGCAGCTTGTGTCGGCCCCCTTTCAAGGCGATCGTCATTCTGCCGTCAAGCCATCCTCCGCTCAGAAATTCAAGGAAGTTCATGATTATTATAAAGATCTCAACGAGGCGGGGTTCAAGACAGAAATGCTGCGATTGATTGTGAAAATAGATTTTGAGATTCAACTCGAACCGGCAACGGAAACGAGTCGGGCTGTCTACGGACCAAGTGAGAGCTGGAACAAAGGCCTTCGCGTCCAGTATAATCAACCTGTTAATCGTGGCCACATTCCTCACACCTACACTGATCCTCAATTCGACCAAAGAAAGGTTCGGGATGCTTTGAAGAAGGAGGGTATGTCAAACGCAGAGCCGGACGCAGTGTGGGGCTTTGACCCGAAGAACATGCCTAATTTTCAGTTCCATCCCGACACGCGCGAGCTGATGCTCCTTCTACCAAAACTGAACTGGCCATTCTTTGTCATGCAGTCCAAGCAAGCAAACGGCAACTGGGAAGATGCCTGTAACGAGGCGACTCGCGATGGCATTGCCATTGTCAGCGCCGCGCGAGAGCTCTGCGAGAAGGCTGCCATCAATATCAAGACTCCTGGGCCCGATGAGAACACTTACGTATACTCAGCTGTGATGGACACCAAAGTCATGGAGTGGTACGTGCACTGGGCGGAAGTTACGGACAGTGGCGATGTCAAATACCATATGAATACTGTCGTCGAGAACCGGGTGTTGAAGGGTGAGAACGCACTCAGCAACCTGCGCAGCCCAACCCATAATATCCTGGATTGGGGCCTCATGAAGCGAAAGCCTGTGGTTGAAGGATGGTATGAGGCAATCGCCAAGCTCGACAGACAAAGGTTCATGAATAAGTCAGCGCCGACTGGCACGCCTAGCACAACGACTAGCGGATCGACCGCAGGGAGTAAGAGGCTGAGGACGCACAGCTCCTCGGCTCAGGAGGGGTTTTAGGTACCTGGTGGGCGGGGTTTTGTTTCATCTGTGCTATCCACACACAGTGGTGGTCACTTGGCCAATCTAAGTAATGCTTAGAGTTGAGTATCAATCGTGGCTCTCTAGATGATACCCTCTCTCACATTAGTCCCTTCTTAAACACGAGTCAACGAGGAGTGCTTCGATTCTGCATGATTTGTATGTGATTTGTCCTAGTTTTTAGCCAAGTTCGAAGCTTGCTACAATCACGAGATCTGCGGAACCCGATCTTCGAGTTATAAAATATGAGGTAAGACGCCTAGTTTTATTATCTATAGAGTTCTATAAAAGAAAAGACGACTTAATAGAAGCGTTCTAAAGCGTATTATATAATCGCTAAGTCTTAGTATCTTAATAATAGTAAGCTTATAAATTTATAAAAAAAAATCTCACTTAAGCGTTTTTACTTTAAATTCTTAATTTCTAATATTATTAAATTATTTATCTTAAAGATTTAAACTTAATATATTTTATTATAAAATTTAATTTAAGTTATAATAATATTATAAAAGCGCTTTATTATCTTATTTCTTAATACTTATAAATTTTTTATTCTATTATTTATAGAAAATATCGTCTCTTTAACGAAGTTATTCTTAATTCTTTAACGAATTTTAGAATAATATTTATATACTAGAAAGAATAATATTATTTTAATAAAGAAAGATTACTTATTTATATAAGCGAACTCTATTATTAATATTTATTTATTTTATTTTTTATTAATAAACGAGTTTAGATCTATAAATTAAATCTATAATCTATTTTTTTAATTAGAGCTATCGAGTAAATTTAATAAGTAAACTTTAATAGAAAATATTTAATATAGTAATTATATAAAAGAATAAGATAAAGTTAAATTAGAAAATCTTAAATTTATATATATAGCTAATTATAAATTTATTAGATCTACGCTTTTTAATTAGATATCGCGAGTAAATAAATTAGCGTTTATAATTATTAAAAATCTATAAAAATCTATATATAGAAGTCTTATACTCTAAAATAATTAGCTCTCTATAAATATTATCAGTATATATAAAAGAATAAAGTAGAGCTAAGCTTGAAAACCTTAAATTTGTATATGTAGTTAATTATTAATTCGGGTTTACTACGCCCTTTAATTAGACCGGCTAAATTAACCTAATAGCCCTCCCACGCCTCTTTTATCAAAAATTTATATATAAAAGTTTTACACTTTGAAGTACTCAGCTTACGATATATATAGTTACTTTATAATTCCTTAAATTATAGAGCTCGCTTTACGCTTTCTAACGCTATAAAAATTATAAAGTTTAACCTACTATTAATGAATTAAATAAATATTTAAATATAATAGTCATAGTAGTCACACCAGACGCGTCCGAGATCGGATAATAATCCTTCCACCTATTTGTTATTCTTTCACTATTCTACCAATTCTATCAATTCTACCAATTCTATTAATTCCACCAATATAAATATAATCGTCTTCGGTACCCCTCGCCTAATTAGAGCCCCTTACTGACGCCCCCAGGCCACCCCTCGGCGAATCCGCTACTGCTGGCAATCGAGGCCGTAAGCGAGCCCAACAGCTACCTACTACTGCTCATAAACGCGTTGAAAGGCCCTCAAAAAGAGAAAATCCGGTTCAGGTATGTACACCCCTTTTGCCCGGCTCTTAGAGGCCCTACTGACGCCCCCAGGCCACCCCTCGGCGAATCCGCTATTACTGGCAATCGAGGCCGCAAGCGAGCCCAACAGCTACCTACTACTGCTCATAAACGCGTTGGAAGGCCCTCAAAAAGAGCCCGAACGGATACGTCCTCCCCTACATACTCCTCCCAAGCCAGCGGTAGGTGGGTTAAACTAACATTCAAATATTGTAGTCACACCAAACGCGTCCGGACGTCATATGCTCTCCACGATTCCACATCAAATCATCACTCAGTAAGCGGAGAACACCACTGTAACTTGGCCTGTCATCCCCACTACATTGAGGAGTAAGAGGAGGAACTACAACAGGCAAATGCGGAGAACACTGCGGAGAAACCAAGCGGCAACAAGGCCACCATCATCAAGAACACGGCTCAGCTCTCCAAGATCCCACGTTATATGCTCTCCACGGTTCCGCATCAAATCATCACTCAGCAAGCGGAGAACACCACTGCAACTTGGCCGTTTCACATCAAATCATCACTCAGCAAGCGGAGAACACCACTGCAACTTGGCCTGTCATCCCCACTACATTGAGGAGTAAGAGGAGGAACTACAACAGGCAAATGCGGAGAACACTGCGGAGAAACCAAGCGGCAACAAGGCCACCATCGTCAAGAACACGGCTCAGCTCTCCAAGATCCCACGTCATATCAGTTATCCACTCAGTCAGCCACTCAGCTAGCCACTCAGTCTGATACTCTACAAGAGGAGGAGCAAGAGGAGGAACTACAACAGGCAAATGCGGAGAACACTGCGGAGAAACCAAGCGGCAACAAGGCCCCCAGCACCAAGAACACGGCTCAGCTCTCCAAGATCCCACGTCATATGCTCTCCACGGTTCCATATCAAATCATCACTCAACAAGCGGAGAACACCACTGCAACTTAGCCTATCATCCCCACTACATCAAGAAGTAAGAGGAGGAACTACAACAGGCAAATGCGGAGAACACTGCGGAGAACACTATGGAGAACACTGCGGAGAAACCAAGCGGCAACAAGGCCCCCAGCACCAAGAACACGGCTCAGCTCTCCAAAATCCCACATCATATGCTCTCCACGGTTCTACATCAAATCATCACTCAGCAAGCGGAGAATACCACTGCAACTTGGCCTATCATCCCCACTGCATTGAGGAGCAAGAGGAGGAACTACAACAGGCAAATGCGGAGAACACTGCGGAGAAACTAAGCGGCAACAAGGCCACCATCGTCAAGAACACGGCTCAGCTCTCCAAGATCCCACCTCATATGCTCTCCACGGTTCCACATCAAATCATCACTCCGGAACGATGCATATTTGGACGAATTGAAACCGTCCGATGTCTACAGCTATGTCATTATTCGAAAAATTTCACTGCGGCAGGAGATATTGTGGGATTCACACCACTAATTGGCACGTTGTCTCCATTTCTTTCCGATATTTCGATACTTCTTGCCATAAGAACATGGCCTTTCTCTTTTTTTTGTAGGCAATTATTATAGCTTCCTAATTAGGCCTTAGCGCGCCTCTCTCCGCACATATGTGCCTGTATACTACATAGATTAAATTAATTTCGTAGTGGTGGAAGTAGGTCAAAAACGCACAGCAAGCGATCAGAGTTCGATTTGACTTAGGGCTAGGGCTAAAATTCCATTTGACTTGAAAAAATCCAACTCCATTTGACTTAGAAAAATTCAACTCCATGAATTTAATTCATGGGCCTTTACTTGTTTCTTTATAATTTAATAAATTATAGAGCTTAATATACGCTTTCTAACGCTATAAAAATAATAAAATTTAACTTATTATTAATAAATTAAATAAATATTTAAATATAATAGTTATAGTAGTTATATTAGACGTATTTAAGATAGAATAATATTTCTTTTATCTATTTATATAATTATTCTTCTTTTATAATTCTATTAATTTATTAATTGTAAATAAATTCGCTTTCGATATTTCTCGTCTAAATGTTACTAAGTATCTAAGATATATATCTCTTCTATCTATTTTTTAAACCTCTTATTAACGCCTTTAAATTATCTCTTAATAAATTTACTATTATTAGTAATCGAGGTTATAGCTTAATAGCTATCTATTACTACTTATAAATATATTAGAAGACTCTTAAAAAAGAGCTTAAACGAATATATTCTCCTCTATATACTTCTCTTAAGCTAGCGATAGATAGATTAAACTAATATTTAAATATTATAATTATATTAAACGCGTTCGATTTAGATATACATCTGCAAATCTAAAAAGTTTCTACTAAATTTCAAATTGCTGATCTTACGAATAGGGCTGAAATTAAGAATTCCGTCGGTTTAGTAATTATCTTAAAAATTAGCTAAAATTCCGTCGGTTTAATAACTATTCTAATCTTTTTTATTAGTTCTATTAGTTTAGTAGTAATACGTATAAAAAAAGAAAAGTTCTAATAATCGACGTTACGACGATAAGATTCTACGACGATAAGTATTAACGCTAACTTAAATTTAGCTATAAAATTAGATAATTTAATAAAATTAGTCGCGTAGATAATACTCTAATATAGCGTATATTAATAATAATATATATTAATATTATTATAATATATATATAGAATAGTACTTAAAGTATATTAGAGTATATTACGTAAAATTTTTAAAGTTATTAAATTTTTTTAAAGTTATTAAATTAATAGAATTAATAAAAAGAGTTAGATATAGATAAAGTCTATTTAATAAACTAAATCGTACTTATAATACGAACCCGGCGAAAATCGTACGGAAATTCACTTTTTAGATTTACAGATGTATATACTTCTTTTATTCGCCTCTTAGAGTCTCTATTAATATTTCTAGACTATTTCTTAACGAATTTATTATTATTAATAATCGAGGTCGTAAGTAAGCTTAATAGCTATCTATTATTACTTATAAATATATTAAAAGACTCTTTAAAAGAGCTTAAACGAATATATTTTTCTTTATATACTTCTTCTAAGCTAACGATAGATAGATTAAACTAATATTTAAATATTATAATTATACTAAACGCGTTCGAAATTAAATAATAATTCTTTCATCTATTTATATAATTATTCTTCTTTCTTTTACTATTCTATTAATTCTATTAATTCCACTAATATAAATATATTTATTCTCGATATTCTCGTACTTAGTTAAATAAGAGAAGAATCTATAATAGGCGAATACGGAGAATATTACGGAGAATATTACGGAGATAGTTATTAGTAGTAGTAATATAATAGATCTACTCTCTATAATCTTATATTAATCTACTTAGCTAATATAAGAGAAGTTAATATAATAAGTAAATATAAAGAATATTATAAAGAATATTATAAAGATAGTTATTAGTAGTAGTAATATAATAGATTTACTCTTTATAGTCTTATATTAATCTACTTAATTAGTATAAGAGAAATTACTATAATAGACGAATACGGAGAATACTATAGAGAAATTAAGCGATAATAAGATCTTTAATACTAAAAATACGACTTAACTTTTTAAAATCTTACGAAGAATATTACTATAACTTAGTCTATTATCTCTACTATATTAAGAAGTAAGAGAAGAAATTATAATAGATAAATACGGAGAATATTACGAAGAATACTATAGAGAATACTACGAAGAAACTAAGCGGTAATAAGACTATTATCGTTAAGAATACGACTTAGCTCTTTAAGATTTTACGTTATATTTATTAGAATCGATATAGATATAATATTAATATAGGTATGTTAAATAAGATAATTAAGGTACCGAACTATGTAGGTGGGAAGGAGGCATGATATGGTAGGGGATGCCTCCGCCAAGGCCCGCTAGCCATAGGGCTAAGGGGTGTATTAAGGGTACGCTCGTAATACTACCCCCCTCCTTCGTTAAATCATATCCTATGATTGGTGAGTGGAAAGGTAGAAAAATAGGTATGTATGTACGCTTGACGCCTGAAAAAATGATAAAAGTAGTAAAGAAATAATCGTATCCGGGAGCCCTAGTATTATATCTTTCTCCGTGAGAGGTATTGGAAATAGTAGCAGCTTTCTATATTTACGCTATAGCGACGTCGCTAGCTAGAGTGTAGGCGCATATAGAAAGCCTAGCCGAGAGGAAATCGGTGTGGTATAGCGAAAACCATATCTATGGGTGTAGGTGTAAATAATGGTGATTTCCGAATTCGTATTTAAGCGGATGAAATATCGGTGGAATGATGCGACGTGATTAATTAAGGGCTCCCGAATCGAACCGAGCCGCAGGCGCTAAAAACTCTAATTCAATATTAAGTGACTTTAATATAGTCTTCTCTGTGATATATCATTTAGCTGATATCGATTATATTTCATGACAGCGATAACGTGGTCTATGTGTATACTGGTATGGCTCCGGAAGGTCTTTAGAATTATATCAGCAAGGGGGGCTTACGCGGAAGGCTATATATGAGGTGATTCTTAATTAATATGGATCTAAGGGATCGATTCTCGGTTTTTTTTTTGGAAAAATGAGGCTATCCTGAAGACATCGGACGGTTTCAATTCGACTGAAAACGAGGTATCCGAGGTAATTCCGGAATCCCATCAGTTAATCCTTTATAGATAAGGCTCTTCGGGATATTACTTATGGAAGTCGTCTATTAAATCTTTATTTAAAAGGTAATACTCTACTATAATAGTTTCGTTAAGATTAAAAATAATATCTAATTAAATAAAGTCTAAATAGAAATTAATAAAAATTCGAGTTCTTTATTATAGAGTATATATATTACGTAATACATTATTACGTTAATTTAAGTTCTTATAAATATTAGTTAACTCGTTTATAATCTTAATAAAAGATTAATATAAGTTAGTAAAGTTTCGAAGTCTTCTATATATTGTATATTATATAGTCTTATCACCGAGTTATAAGATTACGTAGATTATCTTAAAGTCTTCGATAAGATAATAATCGCTATTAGTCTTAAATTTCTATTCTATTCTAGAGAACTAGTCGTTTTAGATAGAGTCGCTATCGTCGATAAATAGAGGTAAGTCTAAGATTTTAACTAATTTCTCTTTTAAATATCTAGGCGTACGTTTCTCCTCGATTAAGAATAGTCGTAAGTTTTTTATCGACTATATATTAAGGCTATTAACTTTTCATTATAAGAAAATTATATCCTTTTAAAAGTCTCGAGCTAATTAATTTATCTTCTCGGTTATTCTATAGATCTAATATAAATCATTTATAATTAAATTCTTTTTTATAACGACGACGTAATATCGAGTAGTAACCTCGCGGAAATTATTTCTCTTCTAACGAATTTCATTTAATATAGTTATAAATTCGTCGGGTTAGTACTTAGCCTAATATTATAGTTATTAAATATTAGCGATATCTTAAAGCGTATCTATTAAGTCTATCTCGTTAAGGATATTATCTAATAGAACTAATATTCGTTAAAACTTGATTTACTCTAGTAGAGTCTTAATTTAATCTATTCTTTTAATATTAGACTTTATTATAAGAAAGAAGAAAGAAAGATTTAAAATAAAGTAAAGAGGAGTTTAAATACTTCGAAAGAATAGATATTAGGGATATCAGATATAATAGAGAATAATAAAGCCTCTCTAAGGCGTTTAAAAATTATTCGATATTAAGAATAAAAAATTTTACTATAAAGCTCGAGGTAAGGTTATTTCTTTACGGGGGCTTAATATACTTATCTCTTAATCGTTTAAGATGTTAAGAAGACTATAAGTGCTTTAAATAGTATTCTTTCGAGTATACTTACTCCGCCTAGAGGGTTTCTTATCTTATAGAGAAGTTATATATAGAAAAGCTTAATGTATTTATAAGATAGTATTAGCTATTTCTTTTAATTCGCTAGCCGTATAAATAGTTTAATACCTTA